AGATGCATTTTTTCTTTGCTAATTTTCGTGACGTTAAAAAAATATTTAATATCAAAAACTCAACATTTTAGAAAAAAGAACGAATCATTATTACAAGAAATGAAATACCAATCATGATTAATGAAAATAAAAGTCATAAACAACAAATATATTTAAGAATAAATAATATGATAATAAAGAATAAAGATATAAATAAATAGAAATTGGATAGAGTTACAAATAAATAAAATAAAAAAGGGAATACAAACAATACAAACATATAATAACATAATAATATAAAAACTAATTAGTAGATTTATTTTCATTACCAACAAACAAAATAATAAAATTACAATGAATGAAGTTAATTAAAGAAGAAATGAAGAACAATAATAAAGACAATACTCAACGTTGAAATAGTTTCAGAGTGATAAGAGGATTGATCATTAAATGAAGAAATTCAATTTGAAATGCTATTTGAATCATTTTCCTTACATTCATATTTTATATTTTTGTACAAGTACCATATACCCTTTCTTTAATATGTGAAGTTTTTGTATTTTCATCACATTTTTATTTTGATAAATGTGTAAATACACCTTTCAATTTGTTTTATATTTTGACAATATTCTTTTCCATTTTCAGATGATTTAAAATGTGTATTTATCAATTACTGTTTAATCATATCATTATGTGAATATGCTATATCATATTCACATGAAAAATTCATATTTCTTCTATACTTTTGTATTTGTTTAATTTCTACGGAATATTTATTCTCAAATTTAATACAAATAAGTTATTTTAATTTTTCATTATCAGTATTTTATTTTTATTCATTAACAATAATAGAACATTTATTGTTAGAATATGAATTAAAACAATAACATTTTTCATTAGGATTATTCATATTTATGCTAATTATGATAATAAAATGTATCATAATCAATATAATGTAACTAAATTTTCTCTTTTCTTTTTTGTTTATATAAAAATAATACTCTCATGTTGCAAATACAAATAATAAAATGCAGAAATATTCATTTTAAATATTTATTAAGTTTTTTCATTACATATCATTAAATCAATTTATTTTTATATCGTTTCTAACAATTGTTTCTTTGTTTGTCTTTTGATTTGTTTTTAAATTTTAATCCATTTATTACATGTTTTATATGTATATTCATTGAATGAAATTATTTGTTGGCAATTCATAAGTGTATTTTCATTTTTATTATTCTATTTGTGTTAACTCTTTGTTGTACTTGATGATAAATGTTTATATTATTTTTTAATTTCACCACCTGAATTCTATTCATTTATTCATTATTCTATATATTTTTAAATAAACTAAAACAGTACAAATAAGAGGAGAAGAATGAGATTCAATTAAAGAAAAATTGTTATCATACTGTATTATTATTTAAAATATTTGGATGTTGGTGTTTTGTTATAAAAGGAGAAAAGAATCGTTAAATGTAGTTAAAATGATATTATAATGTTAGTATTATTCTTATTAGTAGTAGTATTGATGAATATTTTAAGATATTTTAATTAAAAAAAGATTTATTCATTATCATAAAAAATTATGTTTGTTTGTTATTATTTCATTTTCTTCTTTTTAAGATATATTAACTAATAATAATGAATATGATAAATACATTCATAGATAGTATTTCTAACTGATATTTTAAACAGTCATTAATCAGCAATATAAATTAAGTGTTGAATTTTTATTAAAATGATTAGATTTGTAAATATTATTTATGATTCTTTATTTTTATGTATTTGTGTTATCTTTCCTTAACTTCTTTTTATTTTATTTTTAACTAATATTATTTTTTACAATTATTTAAATTATGAATATAATGAATATTGAAAATTTCAATATATGTTTTTATTTTCATAATAAAATATTCATTATTTTAATAAATGAATAGCTAAATTATTTTATTATAAAATAAATTAAACAAATTTTCATTTATTAGTTCATTTTGAGCTAAACATTGGTAATAATTTGTGCTGTCAAATTTTTATTTTTTTTACAAAATCATTTTAATTAACCAAAAAGTCAATTAATATTTCCATTTCTTCCATTAAACTACGACACACCATGATGAACTTGGTCTACTTTCAGTTTTAGAATCACTACTTTCTGTTTTCCATTCAGTGTATGTAATTTCACCGTCAAATCCAGTTCTTTTCTCCCTCGTTTTGTGTTCAGTTTTTATCTTTACTTCTTTGTTGTTTGCTTCTTCAACTGATGTGACATCTTTTCTCTCAATATCAATGTTTTTATATTTAATTATTCTTTTTGTACTTCTCTTTTTGTTAATTGGTGTTAGGTAATAACCCCATGTTAAAAGTTTTTTAATTTCATTTTCTGACCTACTGTTATTACTCCCTTCAACTGGAACACAGTCTACAAAATACATTGGAAATTCAATATCTTCTTCATCTCTTGTAGTATCTTTTATAAGTTTCTTTAGTTCTGGGAGTAATTTCTCTTTCTTTATTTTAATTTGTCTTTCTAATTCATTTTCTGATATACTGTACAAGCATTTACTCCACACAACACAAACGTGTTCCCAAAAACCTTCTGTTGGAAAAACATTACAAATTAATTTTAACAATCTTTTAACATTGTCTGATAACACTTCTTTGTTAAAGTCTAAAACAATAACAATAGCTTGTACACCTGTTTGTTCTTTAATATAATCAACCATTTGGT